GACTATTTTTGGGGAAAAAGCCCAACACCCCACAAGGGGAATTTGTGATCCTCCTGTAGTAGCTCTGGTGCTGACTGGCTGCAGCTGTACGTGGGTGCTGCTGGATCCAAAATAATGTCCTTAAATCGGAGTAAATGCTCCCCATGCAGGTGGGGTCATGGCTACCACCCGTTCTGCTCTGCAGGCTGCATGGGTCGTTTCTGAAAATGCAGTGTATCCACCTAACATTGGTTTTGGAAACCTCATGCCCTCTGTGTACCTCTGTCTTGTAAGGCGATGTCAGCCTGCACAGGTTTCTCTCCAGGAGCTTCAAACCTCCGTGTTTCACATGTTAGGTCCTCCTGCCTACCTGGGACCTAACCAAACTGCTAATTGTTGTGCAGATGTCATCTTCCAGGCAGGCGTGAGGTTGTAGGCTTTAAAGAGGCTGTGCTGTCATTTGCTGCCAGCCTTCTCGGTACACGTGAGCGCTATTTTCGTGGGAGTGCGCGTTTTCTTTCAGCCACTGCTTTGTTGAACTTCTTTTTCTTCTTTTCTCTCTTTATTTCTAGGCTTGCAGGTAAAGTTTTAAGGATACATCTATTTTTCATTATCCCAGTTTTGTCGCTGGTTTTATAACTTAAAAAAAACCCCACAACCCAAACCTAAAAACCTGTTTTCTGTGTAAAAAGCAGCAGTTTGTTCCCGGGTGCGCTGAGGGGAGGACTGTATGTCTTGGTCGGTTTCCGACTGAGGTCCTGACTGCGGCATTGGCCAGAAGTGTACGCCCATCTGCTGGGAGCAGAGGGAGTCTGAGCCCATGAGCTCTGCTCTGGGTTTTCCAGCTCAGGAACCTGGGTGCTGGTTGTAGCCCAGTTGCACTTGGCAGTGCCCCAGGAGAGATGGAGGCTTTGGCCACAGGTTGTCGTTGCCTGCCTTCTGAAAACGGAGAGCTTTTCTTCTACCCCAGCTGAAGTTTAATAAGGGCTTTTGGGTACCTGAGGTGGTTCTTTGGCCCTTTAGAAAAGAGGAGGATGTCAAAGGAGGATATCAAGCACCAGGTCAGAAACACAGGGTGGTACTTTCATGTGTGGTGTGAATTAAGGAGTGGAACTCGTTGCCAAGTTGCTGTGGGTGTCAGAAGTCCAGATCCGCTCCAAAAGCAGTCAACGGGAGGAACAAAACTCCAGTTGATGTAGATCTGAGTGCAAAGGTAGAGTCTGTTGTTCAGGAATACCCTGGGTCAGGGGTTTTTGGAAGCTGCAGAAGTGCATTACATGTATTACTAGATGTCCACCAGTGACCAGCATGATGTGGTGTTTTGCCTTTTATTTTCTTTTTTTGGCAAAAGCAAAAACCAATCAGAAAGAGGAGGAAATAACATAGTGGAGTGGGGAGACAAGACAGCAGTAAAGGGGTAGAAGGAGAAGACTCCATTCCCTCTGTGTCCCCGAAGTCTTTGGGGGCAGAGGTCCTTTGGTGGCAGGAGTTGGTGTTGGGTGTGCCTGTGAGGGTATTTTCTGCTTTGTGGAATTGAAGGTAGTTGCTTCAAGGAAGGAAAAAATCTGTGATGCAATGTGCTGTCCTGATGGACAGCAGAGATGGAAAGGAAGATATTTAGGACTGCACGTATGGGAGGAAATTCTTTAAAACCTGGATAGGAGTAGGACCAGGCTTGATGGAGAGATGAGTAATGAAGCAGTGTTTGAACGGAACTAATCAGTCCCATCTTCTTTCAAAAGACATCATTTGGTTTAATTTAGCAGCGTGTAAATTTAGAGCCAATCAAAGGAAATACTTCTCCAGCCTGTGTGCTGGCAGGCTGCTCCATTCTCTACCCGAGTGTAGAAGCAGCGAGCTGAAGGCTGTAGGTGGATTTGAAGCCTCGTGTTGCGAGGGGGGCCGGGGGTGGGGCGTGGTGTACACACGCAGCGGTGGGGGTACGGGCTCCGTACCGGGGAGACTGGCAGCCACAAGAGCAGCACCCTTCCTTTTTTCCCCTCTCCTCTAGTTCAACGCGTGGTCTGCGGTCGGCTGGGGCAGCTGAGTGACAGGGGGATGCTTTATGGCCCACTGCAGGCGCAGGCAGAGCCGGCTCCTGGGCTCACGGTCCAGAGGAGCCGGTGCTCTGAGCAGCAGGGAAAGCCTTGCACTGTTGGAACCACTGAGTAAACCTTGTTCATCCTGCAACATGTTGCTTTCCTCAAGCAAAGCCTACATATGGATTTAGATAAACTCCTGATCCTTTGACGGCTGGTGTTTTTGTTTGATTTGAATAAACGCAGCTACTTCTGTGCTTAAAAAATGGCACACGCATAAAAAGCCTTTCTCAGGGTTGCACTGGTTTTTAGTTTTCCCTGTCGTTGTCGTTCATCGCACTAACACAGTGATTTTTAAACAAGACTTACAGGTCTCTTCATATTTTCCAGAAGACACGTAAGCCCTTGCTGGGTCAGTATAAGCTGTTTTGTCATTACCTGTTGAAAACTCCATTAGCAGTAAAATCTGCACCCCTTGCTGTCAGCTGCTCCTGATGAGGCCCATGTGCCAACACCTAGAGGTGTTCTGTTCCCTGTGGTGTCGCACCCCTCAACCCGTGCTGTGTTGCTAAATGTCATGTAAAGAATGCTGAAACCTGTGAAAACATGGACTAAAATATTGCTGGTTTTGTTTTCCTTTGCATTTCAGGCTGGTAGCAATGTCTAACCGGGCTCGTCTCCTCTCCACCCCTGCCAAAGTCAACCTGCTGGTCTTGGTGGTTTCTGCAGTGTTTTCGTGGTCGAGCCTGAGCGACAGAGTTCCCGTAAGTGTTGGCTGCTCCAGCCAAGAGCTGCACTTGCAAAGGGCTGTCCAGCTGCTGGAGTCTCTGGTGGGGCGACAGCCTCACCTGATCCCTCTGTAGGGCCAAGAAGAATGCAGCAGCGGCTGGTGAATCGCCTCTTCTTGACAGTGGGTCTTCCACAACAACATTTCAGAAGGGCTTTTTTCTGAAGACTGCTTGCCTCACCCCAGGAAATCCAGAATAAGCTTGATCTGGAGGGTTGGCAATGGGAACAGTGCAACTTGTGCAGCTCTCTTGTTTGCTAGGTGTCACTTTTTCTGTTTGGAGTTGTCACACGTTCCCTGCGTGGCAAGAGACCAAGCTAATTATGCTGTCTAGTGGCAAGAGGAGGGGAAGAGGTGGCCTCGATTAGGTCCTAGCTGTGCCTCTGTTGAGTCACCACAAGTGAGTCAGGCTTAGAGGAGCATCCTTTCAGGTCATTGCATCCCATGTGCATGGATTTTGCTACTTGCAGTGTTATTTCGAAACTGCGGTTGAGGCAAGTGGGTGCTGCCTGCCCTTGCACAGGTGTGCAGAACTCCCCGATTTGGATTCTGCTGCTGAGCCCGAGGTGCCAGGCCCCGCTAGATTAGCAGGTCTGGAAAGCTTCCTTGAGGAAACAAGAGCAGTAGAGAGTGGTGGTTTTTTAGTTTAGTTACTTCTGTGGCTTGAAGCAGGGGGGCCCCCAGCAACACTGCCGTAGGGGATCGCTGGACCCCAAGTTCTTGGACGCTCTCTCCTGCCTTTGCGTTGCAGCTGGTCTGTTGGTGGTGTGGTGCAGCTGTCTGGGGGTGTGCTATCACCCACAGCAAATACAAGGGGCAGGTTGCGGTATAAGGCTGTGCCTCAGGCCCACCTGGGGTCATGTAACGGTGAGATAATCTGTATTTCAGGGAGGGAGAGGAGGGAGGCCTGGGATAGAGCGTGGTCATCCCAGCTGGAGAACAAGCACTGGGACAGCCACCCAGTGATACGTGCCCGAACTGGCAGGCAGCGGGTGCCGAGGTTGAGACAGGATTAATGCAATGGGTGGTTAACTCTCCCGTCGCCTTTTCCTGCGCTCCCACTGCAATGGCTCTGTGGTGGCCACATCCTTCCTTTGCTGCAAACAGGCAGCAGTTTGTCTCAGACCCTCCCTGCTGAGGCTTTTCAGCTTCCCGCAGTTGATTTCAGACTGATACAGCAAGGAGGCTTTTTGCCTTGAAGGAAATTTCCATTGTTCTTTAGAAAGCATCTTTCTTTCTACTATTTTAATTGGGAAAACAAACCAAAAAGGATTATACTTAATTTCTACATAAATGAGAGTCGCTTGTGTGTTGTTGTCCATTTTTGCTAGAAATGCTGATGAGAATGGGGTATTGCAAAGTAGTTGTGGGCCAAGCAGTGGTAGTGATGTTTAAATGGACCAAGTCACATCCTTTTATCCTTACTGAACATTTAGACCACCGCATGAGCAGAGGCAGTAAATATCAGCCATCTCCATTATGTGTTTCAACGGATACAACACTCGGAGGCCTGTTGGTAAATTTACAATGGCCTATATCGTTAAGTCCCTCTTGAATAATATTATAGTAGCGTAAATAAGCTAAGTAATAACTGCTCTGACTCATTTATTTTAGTCCTGTTGCGTCTTGGCTCAGAAAATGTTAACATTGATTTTCATCAGTAGAACCTGGCTTTTTATGTTTATGGTTGCTACTGATCTTTGAGCATTTGTCATAATTTTAACGATTTCCAGCCTCTGATGCACTAAGCGAAAGCTGGAGTTAAGCTGTGTTTTCCAGTGTATTTCTGAAATTTCAATCCTTTTTGTCAGATAAGATAAAAATATTCTATAGGTTTGTCAACCATCTTGATGTGTTACCACTGTCGTTGCTAATTGTACGTGCTCTGCTCGGGCTGACATTTCTCTTGCTCAGAAACACTCTCCTAGGCTGGATAATGGATATTTGTATGCAAAGCACCCAGAATCTGCCAGAGAATATGCATGCGTTTTTTCCAAGAAGTGAAGACAGAACATGGCCTAAAATTTCCAGTTAACCTCTTAATTGACTCTTTTTTTTTTTTTTACCTGTGGAAATGTTCTAAGGATTAATATCAAAACACTTCATGGAGTGAACTGTAGCTCTTATTCTAATTGCCAACAATTTGAAATGAACTTTCCCTATAGGCTGGACATTTGAAATTATTCAGTGGTGGCATTCTTGGCGATATCAGAAGCTGATAATACTCCCTGCAACAGAAACTGAGCTGTCTGGACGATTAGCCTGGACCAGCTTATCTGTTCCTGTGAAAAGCGGAGTAGCAGAGTCCTGCTTCCGGAGCAGTTAATAGCCTGGTGTGAGATAGTACGAGGCTGTTACTTACTCTGTGCTCTCAATAATTTTATCCGTTGCAGTTTTACATGACTCCCACCAGCTCCCTAGGGAGACTTTTCAGTGAACAGTGAGGTTTCCCTCGCAGCAAGGATTTTTTTTCCTGCTTTTCATCCTCGTTTTTTACTTTGCGTAATGTTGAGCCACTCGTGCTAGTTGATCTGCCACACCTCTGCCGTTCCATGCTGCACTTGCGACGTAGGTGGTGATTAAATCACTGCCTCGTTGTTCTAAAAGACTTGGAGGACACCAGGAACGGGTGGAGGAAAGGATGCTTGCATTTTTATTGTGTGGGTAGTTTGGTGTGTTTTCCCCATGTCCTATTTTGGAAATAGCTGAACTATTTTAGCTGAAATCTTCTCCAAGTCTGAAATAAGTGCATTTAAGAAAAAACAAAAAAACAAAAAAACAAAACAACCCACAAAAAACCAAAAAAACCCCAACACTTGAGGCGTTCCACTCAGGTAGAAAATTTCAGCTGAAAAAGTTAAAAGGTTGACATATTTTTAGGCAAGGGAAAACAGGGTCTTAGAACGTTACACAACCCTAATAATAGTCAGGGCTCCTGGCTCTGAGTGTAATACAGGTGAGGCGCTGCGAAAGCCTGTTTTAAACCTGCAGCCTGCACTGGAATAGGAAATAAGCTGCGTTGCTTTGTTCAGCACAAATGTCATGGTAGTTATGCATGTTTAACCTTTAATATACTTTAAATCTAAATTTAACCATGTGGAAAGAATCTCGGATGTCAAAAAAAAAAAATCTGCTGGCGAGGGAAAAAATTTTGTATTCTCAGCCAGCACTAAATTACCCAGATGCAATTGCTAATGAGCTGAATCTCTTCTATCCAGAAGGAGTTTGCCCTTACAAAAATAGAAGAGAGCGACATAAAAGATGACAGCGGGAAAGAGCCGGTAACAGAAGATGATGCTGATCCTGAAGACCTGGAAGTGTTTTACCCCACACATCAGTGGCAAACCATCCGTCCAGGTAACATGCTGATGACTAATTATAGCATCCTCTGAAACCCGGCCTGACAGCACTGACAGAAGCCTTGTGGAAACTCGCAATACCTGTTTGTTCCCATGACAATGTATTCTTTTGCTGGTGTTCAGATAAAGAGGTGTGGACCCAATGACCGAGGGCAGGGACAGGAGACCATCGCCAGACTGGCTGGCAATGGGAGTGGTTGCTAAAGTGCTTTCGGTTCACTGGAGCAGGTCGAGTGGGCTGCCAGTCACATTGCAGGTGGTGATGTGTCTCTGTCACTAGCTCAGAAGCCCTTTCTCTCTTTGCACGCTTGTCAAGGGACAGATTTTATAACATTTGTTGGCACGTGGTATCCCAGGTCTGCTGTGCTCCGGTGTGGGCTGGGGAAATGCTGCTCAGTGGCAATCTGATTAAGGATCATCAATGTAACACTAAGCAGCTTTTTAACAATGGGTGTTCTGTTCCTTGGCTGTTTGAAATCCAGCTTTTATCGCTATCTGTACATCCCACAAAAAAAATCTCTTCCCTTTTTTTTTTGGTTTGGTATCTTTTATTAGACATCTATGGGACAAGCACGGTGGGAAAATGCCAACTGAGCAGGCTGGCTTCGCTGCAAAAACCTGTGTGCTGGGGAGGGCTCTGGAGAGGATAAGCCCATTTAAACATACACAGACACACAGATGCATGTGTGCACACATTTCAGCAGTTAGGATGATCAGTAAGCCTGGCTCTGGGGTCTTGGATGAGGTATTTAATCCACTTGTGCTTTGGTGTCCTCATGTATATGCAGGTGTAATACCTTCCCACCTCAGAAGGGTGAACTAAGTAGTAATTAATTTTTATAAAGTGCTCTGAATTTAAAAGAGCTTTATCCTGTGCTCAGTATTATCATTGAATGAATAAATATGGGATCCATTTGTCTTGAAATTTCTGCCAGATATAGCAGAATGACTTTTCCAAATGTAAATCTTTGTATAACATAAATGTCTAGCAAAAGCCCCTAAATTTCACAAAGCTGCTGTACATACTTATATTCCATTTTTGTACCATTATGTATGGAAGGCGTGTGGTGTCCCTGCTTAGTATTCAGACTGGCAGATCCCACCACCCTTATTGAAGCAGAATATGTATATACTTGGAGTCATTATAAACGCCGTTGACGGTTCTGTTCAGAAGCACCTTCTGCATTGCCCAGGTGTCTTATTCCGCTTTGTGTTTGTAGCAGTTCCACGCTGGGCATGTGCAGCGAAGGGCTTGTGGAAGTAGGGAGCTTGTCAGCGCTCACAGCGTGCTGTAGAGAAGAATTTCAATTACTGTTGTAAAAGGCTTAAACGGGGGCCTGCCTCATCGTCTGGTCACTATAGATCCTCATTTCAGATGTGTGTGCAGGTTTGGGTTGAAACGTGTCAGAAAGAGGAGTCTTCCTTAGTCTCCCACCACCATCATGGGTTTCTGTCTCCTGTGGGCTTCTCTGAAGTGAGATCGTGTGCGTGGGCTGTGTGACTCGCGCTGTTAGCATGTGTGTTACCCAGCAAGGCTGGGGAACCTGCTGCCTGCACCAGCCCATCCCTGCGGCCTCTGGTTTCCCCCTCCTGGCACTGGTCTGTGCTGGGAGGGTGTTGACCCCCAGGATGAGGGAAGCGGGCAGCGTGGCTGCGCGAGGGATGGGCCTTTCGGTCCTTTAGCAGAGACGCACGTGCTGGCAGCGTGGCTAATCTGGGGCGGCTGCGCCTGCGGTTGCGGACGGGGCCGAGCCCTGGCGGGGCTGTCTGCCATGTGCTCAGCACAGACCAGAGTGAACCACAGCACCGTGCTCAGAAGCTTGCTTTTCTGCTGCCCGCCTCTCTGGGATGCCCCCACGCTGCCTTCCATCGTATCCCTGCAGCAAACAGGGCCAGTCTCTCCTGGGGAAGCAGATGCTCGGATTTGTTCAGTTCTGAGTAGGGGAAGGGAGCTCAGAGTTGTGTTTGTCCCCGTCACACTCCTGTCTCATCTTGTTCCTGTTCTGAGCTCAACACAGGGTTTTTATACTTCTGTCCGGACCCACTGTTGCTCATCTTTTATACATGTATTTCTGGTTTTACTCTGCTGTTTTTCTAGTTCCCTGTTGCTAATTGCATCAAACCATGTTTCCGCCAAGACTGCAGCAGTGTCATCAACCTGTAACCTGTCAAATCCCACCACCAAATTCAGTTGCTACTGTATATGCAATGCTGCTTTGTGTGGTTTTCCCCTCGCTGCCTGCGATGTGAGCTGGATTTTGATCAAGTGCTTTCTTACACTTTGAGCTCACTTCAACCTGCTGGAGGTAGCTGGATGCAAACGCAGGGAGACAGTTACCCTAAGAGCTCTGCTGCCTGTAATCTGGAAGCAAGGAGATCAGTTGTCTCTTCTGCCAGCCAGCTGGGAAGCTGATGGGCTGTAGGAAGGTTGGTGAAACTTCACAAAGTCCTTTAACACTTTGTTAAGCATTGCTTCTTTCTTCACTTGGCACTAAATAATGCACCAGGCATGGCTGGGTTACACAGGAAGGATACGTGCGCCTTAGAAAGTCTCCCAGCGCCTCCATTGTTTTACTTTTTTTGGTATCATCTGAGGAAATGAAGAAGACATCAGCAGGACTTTTCACTTTGTTCTTGATTGGTGTCTGTAGGAGCTTTCAGGCTGCTTGGGTTTTTATGCCCTGCCTAGTGGATGAGGGAAAGGCAGTGGATGTTGTCTACCTGGACTTTAGTAAGGCCTGTGACACTGTTCCCCACAGCATCCTCCTGGAGAGACTGGCTGCTCATGGTTTGGATGGGTGTATGCTTCGCTGGGTGAAAAACTAGCTGAATGGCCGAGCACAGAGAGTTGTGGTGAACACAGTTAAAGCCAGTTGGTGGCCGGTCACGAGCGATGTTCCCCAGGGCTCAGTTTTGGGGCCAGTCTTGTTTAACTTCTTTATCAATGATCTGGATGAGGGAATTGAGTGCTCCCTCAGTAAGTTTGCAGATGACACCAAGCTCGGTGGGAGTGTCAATCTGCTTGAGGGTAGGAAGGCTCTGCAGAGGGATCTGAACAGGCTGGATCGACAGGCTGAGGTCAGCTGTATGAGGTTCAACAAGGCCAAGTGCCAGGTCCTGCACTTGGGTCGAAAGACATGTAGGGGCGTGAGCGTGTCTAGAGAAGGGCAACGAGGCTGGTGAAGGGTTTGGAGAAGTCGTCTTATGCTGAGCGGCTGAGGGAGCTGGGGCTGTTCAGTCTGGAGAAGAGGAGGCTGAGGGGATGACCTTATTGTTCTCTACAACTACCTGAAAGGAGGTTGTAGTGAGGTTTTGGTGTTTTCTCCCAGGTAACTAGTGATAGGACAAGAGGCAATGGCCTCAAGTTGCATCAGGGAGGTTTAGATTGGATGTTAGGAAAAATTTCTTTACTGAAAGAGTGGTCAGGCATTGGCACAGGCTGCCCAGGAAAGTGGTGGAGTCCCGATCCCTGGAGGTGCTCAAAAAATGTGTAGATGTGGCACTTTGGGACATGGTTTAGCAGGCATGGTGGTGTTGAGTTGGCAGTTCGTCTTGAAGAGCTTAGAGGTCTTTTCCAACCTTAATGATTCTATGATTAATGAGTGGGATTGCAATGTCCTCCGAATGGATGTTCACACCTGATCACTTCTCATGGTCAGGTAATGGTTCCACCACAGACACAAATTTTTTTTGAAGTTGTGCTTCCTGTGATGTCTTTTTGCTTTCTGAATGCACTTTTACCAGGTGATAGTACCCTTGTGGGTTGGAAGCTCTCTGGAGAAATGTAGCAGAGGTGACTTCCTTTGGTTGCTGCTTATGTTAAGCTCTGCCAAGTGCGTGGAGATGACTCTGGGAGCACACAGAAACACCCTGCCGCTTTGCAAGGTGATCTCGCCTGATGGTTATGGCACCCAGAGGCTGATCCGAAGTCTTTAGGATGGCAGAGATGAATGGGAGGCTTGGACGGTGTTGATGGTCTTCTCCGTCAGTTTGACAGTTTTCTTGGGGGTTCTGTATATAAAAGCATTTCTTCCACGTTTCCAGGTGACCTCAAATCTGCTGTGCAGCATCCTAGAGCACATGAATGTTTCACTTCCTGGGAATTATGTACTTCTGTTATTTGGGCACCTTGTTTCCCTCTGTCCTGTTGAGTATTCCTGATTATGATTGGAAGTTGGATTGCTCTGACCATTTAATCACATCACTGAGCAGCAGACTTTCCACCCAGCATAGGGTCGGCAGTGGCTTCTCTGAGAAGACATTGGTTTGAAGATTGAGGAGAAAGGGTGTAAGAGACAAGAGTTTAGCTAGGAAAGAAAAAGGGGGTTAATCATCATCTCCTTAGCAGCAGCCAGCGCTGCGGGGAGCCTGGGCTGTGCAGTGCCTCTGCAGATGGGCTCTGTCTACCTCCATGGCAGCAGCACTTCCCTGCTCCCTGACGTGGCAGAAACTCACTGGCAGGTTTCTTCAGCTGGCAGTTTGAAGTTGTGAGTTAATGTGTCCGTTTCCAAACGCAGATGGACCAAGTGAAAGCCTCATCTCCTGGAAATATCTAAATATTTTCAGTCTCCTCTGCACGCTTTCCATTTGAGAGGAGCCAACAGTGGGGCACGGAAGGGCTTCCTTTGGTCCGGAGCAGCTTGCAGACTGGAGAAACGGAGCAAAACCTTGCATTGGCGATTGAAATGTTGCGGCATGGGATTCCCTCAGGTCTGGATAGCATGTCTCCTTATCTAGCAGGGCAGAGCGTGGCTACAGCTCAGCTGGCCTGTACCTTTAGCTGTGGTTGAAGTTCCGCCTTGCAGAGCTCTGTGCCCATAACCTGCAGTTACTCTGTAGCATTTGTACTGTTCAGAGTCATTTTCCTAAGTGCCTAATTATATTGCAGTTAAAAAATAAGAAGCCATGACTGCTGCTGTTGATCAAACTGCCTGAGCGAAGTTGATGTGAGCATG